GGGCTTAGTTGCTCCGCGGCATGTGGGATCTTCCCGGACCAGGGATCGAACCCGTGTCCCCTGCATTGGCAGGTAGATTCTTAACCACTGCGCCACCAGGGAAGTCCCTGGGAGAAAGGTTTGCTACCCATGTATATCCATTTGTGCTGTTTGAATTGCCATGTGCATTTTATGTAAAGGAAAGGATTTTTTTTTTAATTATGAATAAAATAAAACAAGTTTATCATAAAGTAAGATGGTATCAGTTTAATATAACTTTTCAAATATTTTTGTATGGCAGTCTTTCACAATCATTTTATGGAGTGGTTATAAGCATGGACTTTGGAGTAGGCTTATTTACTGGCTGTGGGGATCTTGGAAAAGTTATTTAAGAGCTCTAAACCTCCATTTTCTCCTGTAAAATAGGAAATAATAATAACTATCTTACGGGGTTGTTGTAAAAATAAGATAACACAGTCAAGTGGAAAGCAATTAACCTGGCGTATGACCTATTGTAAGCACTCAAATGTTGAGTGCATTATGGTTAATACTAAAAGGCTATATATCTAGGACTCTTGATTGCAAGTGGTAGTAATCTAACAGTTTTCTCCTACCAAAAAAGGGAATTCTTCACCTCACACAAATGAAAGTCTAGTAGATCTGTCTTTGGGACTGGTAAGATCTCGTACCCCCCTTGAAGCCACTGGGACTCAGTCTCTCTCTAGCTCTTAACTCTGCTTTCTTCTCTGTGGGCTCAGTTGCCAGGTAGCTCCAGGCTTATATCCTACCAGCCTGATAACTCCCAGTGAAAAGAACCCTGTACTTTCCAACAAAAATCCCATCACTGAGTGATTCACCCTGCTTTGGTCATGGGTAAACCACCCGTAAACCAGTCACGTTCGCCAGCTGACTGGACTACACTGATTGGTGGGCCCAGATTAAGGTGCTCACCTCTGTAACCTAGATAGTAAGGGCCAGCCTAAGATGTTGAACAGTGTCAGGCCTTTTGTTTTCAAGCCTGTTTGTTTTCAAGAGAAACCACCTGGACTAAGAACTGTGGAGAAGTTCCCCAAATGAAAAATTAGGGCAACAAATGCCAGGTAGACAGAAACCGTGGATGTTCCCCTCGGCCCACTGCTTGGCTGCCTGACAGTTACTCCTATTATTTTCATACGTACATTTTCTGAAATGCGTAACAGTGCAACTGTTCCTTGCAGAGGCGTGTTGTCATAGTTGGGGCTGAGGTCCTATAGTTAGCACATACTTCCTTTCTAGTGAAAGCCACCCTTGATAATAGCTCAGGCAGATGCCCTCTGGGTGATCTATACAGCATTACTCATGTTCGGCCTTTACTCCTGCTTAGGACCAAATGGCTGGGCCTCCTGTTAAGCACCAGATATATTAGTTGCTTTACTGGTAGGGGCCATGTAATATGAAGACCTGTTTATAAACAGGACACAGCTCTCCGTTCAGCAAGATGTTCACACTAAGAGCAAACGAAAATTGAGATGACCGAGAGGAGATTTTTTTTTTATTTGATTTTTTTATTGTGTTTGATATACGTTATTATTATTAGTTTTAAGTGTACATGGAACATTCTCTAGAAAGTGCTGACAGGAAAAAAAAGTCAACCCAGAATTCTGTATCCATTGAAAATATCCTTCACAGATGAAGATGAAATGTTTTCAGAAAAAATAAAACTAAGATTATTTGTCACCAGCAGACATACACTAAAATAAATGCTGTAGGACATTCTTCAGGCGGAGGAAAAATGACACCAGGGGATTACACATATCTTCAGGAGCCAACAAAGAACAGCAGAAAATTTGAATTCCGAGAGATTTTTATCTGCGCTGGTGCTCTGTCCAGGGCAAGGGGGTGTAGGCAGAGACTCTACCTGCCCTGTTTAAATCCTCCCTTCTGGCTTCTTGTTTGTTTTAACAAGCATGTGTGCGCGAACTCGCTAAGGTAAGCATCAAGGTAATGGTGCTTCATCATAGCCCTTCCCCAAAAGGAGGTCCAGTTACTGTGCCCATCGTCAGATCTAGGACCTACAAGTACTATGTGTTCCAGTTTAGTCCCCACTCACTCAGCAGTGGAGGAGAGATAACAGGATAACCCAACAGAAACATCCATTTGGAAAAGAGGAAATCACACACGGTGGTCACCTCCCGGAGCATGTCATGTCCCCCCCAACAGGAATGGCAGGCACTTGGAGACTTGCTAGAGTTGTGGCTTGCTTGTGGCTCCAAGATGGTCACCCCGATTTCTACCCTCTGGGAGGATTTTCTGGGGCTGCCTTTCTTTCACAGCTCATTTCTTTTCGGTGTGAGTTTTATAGGTTTAGGGATTGATTCACTTAAAGACTGAGGTCTCATAGGCCTTTGCTTCCTCTGGTGCCTTTCAATTGTAGTAGATTTTCTATCCAATATTGAGATTTGTCAACTCTATGGTTTGGTGCTTGGTTACCAAAGTCACACAACCTGACTAGTTCTGGTCCTTGAAGTTCAATCGCAGTTTCTTAGCAACAGATCTTGGAATTTCCCCAGCCTACAGCACACTGCTTCCACAGGCCTTAACCTCAAAGCAATTTGAAACAGTAGCTGAGCATGGGGAGGCACAAAGGACATGCCCCCAGGCTGCTGGACAGTGGGTGGTTCTTTATTGAGGGTGCAGGGAGAGTGCGGCCTTAAGGGGCCAGGAGCTCAGGGGCCCAAGCCCTTTTCCCATTTTGCCTTCCTTCTGTGGACTTTAGCAGGGGCAGAGAGTACAGCTGTATATCTTCTTGGATTGCTTTCTACTGAGAAAAAGCCTCCAAAGCAAAGCTGTTTTCTCCTTCTCTACTTTTAGCTGAGCCTCTACAAAGCTTGACTCTATCAGTAGTAATTTCCTGCAGGCCACAGAAAAGAAGTGACCAACACACCTGGCCCCTTGTTATTAGCAAGGCATGCCAGCTCCCCATTTCACTGGAGCCAGTCTTGACTCAGCCATTTCCACAGGTTGTCACATATTCCCCACACTTTCAGAAGCCCAACTCAAAGTGCTTTGAGCTAAAAGGAGACTTTATTGGCTAATGTAACTGATGTAACTGAAAAGTCTGGGGGAGGCCAACTGCATGACCTGACCCAGAGTTTTGAATGATGGCCTCAGACCCCTTTCTCTCTGTTTCTCCACTCCGCTTTCCCCTGGGGAGGCCTCATTTCTAGGTAGCTTCCGGCTACCAGCTTATCAACCTTACTAAGAAGGCGTACCCCTTCCTACCAGTAGTTCCAGAAAAATTCCTGGGGTTGCCTTCGTTCACCCAGCTTTGGTCCTGTGCCAGAAGGACTGCAATCACTGTGGGCGAGGGGGAGGATGGAGCATAAAGACCAGCCCGGACTGGGTCACCTGTGTGCAGCAGGCCACTCTTAGTCTGTGAGAGGGAAGGGTTGCTCCCCAAAGAACAAGCAGGGAGTTTTGCCTGATGAAGCGGGAATGTTCACTGGGCCAACCAAAGCAACAGGCCCACACAAGGATTTGACAAGAGTGTTTGGGAGCAGACAATGAAATTAAGAAAGTTAATTGTCATTCCTAGGCCTTTGGAGTGGTGATGCACTGCTCAGCAGAAAGATAATGTGTGCCACAAATGCAAGCTACATAGTAAAAAGATACATATGTTTTCCGTATATATATACGGAAAGAGGTGAAATGATAATTTTAATAGCATCTTATTTAGTAATACTTTATAAAGCTGAAACAGCATCATTTTAACATGTAATCAATATAAAAATTATTCATGAGCTCTTTCAGCCTTTTTCATGCTAAGTTTTGAAATCCAGTGTGTGTTTTACACGGACAGCACGTGTCAGATTGGATGAGCTGCCTGTGGCTCATGGCTTCTTAGGGAACAGAACAAGTTCAGCTGATAAGTTGTTACTTCAGTTTCTATGTCATGGGGAGTTGTTTTGAAATTGTGAATCTCATTAGAAGCATCCGCCCTGAAATGAGCCTAAATGCACATTGTCATGTGGGTGTCTAGTTGGTACCACCCCTGTCTGAACACCCTTCACACCCATGCAGTCAGTACTCAACAGTTACTTATCTAATAATTACCTGGCTTCTCTCCTGGACTCTACGCACTAGGAACCAAGGGACTCTTATCTGTCTTGCTTACCTCTGTTCCCTTCGCCCAGAGCCCAGTACATAAAAGACATGAAGTGCATATTTTTATATGAAAAATCAGATTAAAAACTTGGGTGAGAGCTTCTTGTTTGCCCAGTTTGATGACCAAATGGGGAAAGTAATCCTAGTTGAAACCCAGGATTGAGTGTTTGTGGTATTTGTTATTCTGATGAATGAGCATTTGTAGTCTGTGACCAGTTGTGTTACTATTCAATCACCCTTTCTTTCATTGAATATATATATATATATATATATATAGAGAGAGAGAGAGAGAGAGAGAGAGAGAGAGAGAGAGAGTGTGTGTGTGTGTGTGTGTGTTTGTGTGTGTGACTGAATACCTACAGAAACCCAGGCTCTGTACCAAGCCCTGGGTATACAAAGATAAATGGGAAGCAGTCCTGCCTTAAAGGAAATGAGAAACAGTTAAGTAAAATAACTCTTACATCCAGCAAGTGTTATGATACCAATAAACACAGAGTGTTTGGGGAGCACAAGGAAGGGGGTTCAACCCAGGTCAGAGATGGAGACAGAAGCAGAGGTTTGCTGGGGAAAAGTGAATTTAAGTCCCATGATGCCTGCGGTATTCTTAGTCTCCAGCCCCATGCCTGGCACGTCTGTTGAATCAATGAGTAAATGAACAAAGTGGCTCCAGAGCCTAACCCTGAAGGATGGTTGGATTTGTCCATCTGAGCCCAGGTGGCGAGAGCTCCGCCTCCGGAGCCAGAGCCCCGGCTGGAGGGAACTGAGACCCTGAGTGAAATGGAGGGGGCCAGCGGGGGCTGGCGCGAGCCTGTGGCGTTCGGCTTCACTTATGATCGTCCACATGACCAGCGACCAACGACTGTACTCTCTTATTCCAGGCAAAGCGCAGGCTGGAGCTAGGAGAAAGCGGTCAGCAGTACCTCTCAGATGGTTTAAAAACCCCCAAGGGCAAAGGAAGAGCTGCGCTCCGAAGTCCAGATAGTCCAAAAAGTAAGGATTCCATCATCTCTTCCTGTCTTGGGTGTGAGCTTCCCAACTTTCAGAGCTTGTGGCTGAAGGGATGCCAAGGTGTGGATAATTTTGGCATGTTTGGTTCTTTTTCATTTCTGCCTGTGCCTATCCAAAAAATAAATATGATGTCTGCAGACACCCAGTGAGAGGTTTACAGAGTCACTCCGATACCTGAATACTGACTGCAGGGGAGGCCTCTTTTGATGTGTGCAGTTTCATTTTTCAACTCAGAATACAAGCTCTTTGGCACTGTTCCATAGTCAAATCTAACTTTAACTTTCCTTCATGGACCTTACTTCAGGGACCAGGGCTAGCTGGGTGTAGGTGATGTCTATGCCAGCCTAAATCTCTAGTTCAGCATATGGCAGCGTAGGAATTGATTGAGACCAGTAAATTGCAGCTAGTTTCCATTTCCATCAAGCACAATCGTTGTTTCTTTTGGGGGAGAGAGAAAAGTAGGTTGGAAATAGCTAAATAGTCCTTTACATCTTTGGCATTTAATGCAAAGGGGAAATTAATTTAGACTTTGTCCTCTCCTATCCTGTAGTGTATGAATTAGTCAATCCACAAATTGTGTGTCGTACTCAGTTAAACCCTTGACCTGTGCACCTATAAGAGAATAAATGCAATATTAAATGAGGACAGTTCATTCCAGAGGGATGGGGAGACTGGATTGAATGACTTTTCCAGGTATTCTTCATCTACATTATTTGAAAAGTTGGTGAACAAGTTATATACACACAGAGAGCCTGGAGTCTGAAAGGGCAGTTAGGATGGGTCTGTCTGGGTCCCATCATCAAATGCTGGAGAGGTTCATAGCCAGACCCCATCAAATTAGGCTCCACATGTGCTGATCCCATGAGGCTACAGCACTTTTTCATTCATTCAACAGATACTTTTGAGCACCTACTATGTGTGAGATGCTTCACTAGACCCCAGGGAGTAGGGTAAGCCGAAGTAGAAACTACTGAGAAATTCACAGTAAAACGCTTTAATCAAACAGGAGTTTTTACTGTCCCTTCCTTTTCTAATAAAGCAATTTCATAGCTTTCCATAACTCACCAAAAACATCAGCGACAACAGCTTTGCTTCCAACACTAATACCTGGGCTGCTGGGGGAATGGGGGCTTGCTTGACTGCAAAGAAACCCTTCATTTCTTTACCTTTCCCCCTATCCCCCCCACCCGCTCGGCTTTTGTTTTTCTTTAAGCTCCAAAATCTCCCTCAGAAAAAACACGGTATGATACATCACTTGGTCTGCTCACCAAGAAGTTCATTCAGCTACTGAGCCAATCACCTGATGGGGTCTTGGATTTGAACAAGGCAGCAGAGGTGCTGAAGGTGCAAAAAAGAAGGATTTATGACATCACCAATGTACTGGAAGGCATCCACCTCATTAAGAAGAAGTCTAAAAACAACGTGCAGTGGATGTGAGTATGAGTCACGGCGCCCGCAATTCACTGGCTCTGGGGTCCTTGCAAACTGCAGAGGGGTTTCTCCCAGGCCCAACTTTCACGCCCATGCCCACATTTCATTCCTTTTCTCTCCTACTTCTCTCTCCTTCTCTCTTCCCTCCTCAACTCCTTAGCCAGAAGTTCAAAATCTCTTTACAAAGAGACCTTCTGTTTAGATGCTGTCAGAGATAAAAGGGTTTATATTCAATTAGCCTCAAGCAAGGGGATCCTGGGATTAAATGGAGCCCTGCATCTGTAAAGTAAAACGCTGTTCATCTGTCACCGTGATATCTACGTGTGTGCTCACATGTGTAATCTAATAGATGCTTACACAGGTCTGTGGCTTGTCTCTGATAGGAGTTTAGAAACTATCTGTGGCTGTGTATCAACACATCTGTGTGTACGCACAGTTGTCAGGTATCTTTATTGATGGTTCTCATTGCCGATTAACTCACTTTCTGTGTAAATTAAGTCAAGGTTCCTTCTGGAAAACCGGGATGATAATACTTGTCATCTACACACCCACATGTATGATTAAATGTATGATAATGTCGTTTGTGAATTATGGACAGAGCATCTGAAGGAACAGAGCATCAGAAGGAACTATGAAAGCATTATTGGAAGGAATAAATCTGTTATGGGTTGGCTTTGAAAAAAATATTACTTCAAACATGATAAAATTTTGGAATTTTATGACAATTCAGTGACCCATTTTAGCCTGTGGTTGAGACAGACCAGTTGGGAACTGGTTTTTGTTCTTGCACCCAGCACATATACCTGTTTTCTTCACCTCCTTTTCCTTTTTAGTTGTTGGTATAAGACCCTCAGAAATTACCTAGGTCTTTCATGCTTTTTTTTTGGATGACGTTTGGTTGAATTTTGAACCATTCCATCTTTTTCTTCAAATTTTTCTATCTTGCTATGTCTTCCTATCCTTTTTCCCCTGTTTCTTTTCCCCCCGCTGGGAGGCATGTGGCAGGAAGGAGCCGCCTCCTTTTGCCCTTTGAATTTGAGTCTTCTGAAGAAACAGTCTCCTCTGGAGGAAAGAAACCTGAAAATAGCAGTGTTTTTTCACTTAATTTCTATAGTGTGAAAAGTGAAGGACTTTATGTATGGAAAAATATGTATAAACATTCTAATTTTAACACTTGGCTAACAAACAGTGTGACCTCCTGCATCAAGAGGGGACATTTACCCAAAGGACCATTTCTCCTAGCCCTCCTTTTCGCCCTCTCCCCTTTGGCCTATCGAGCAGCCATGCAGAGTCTGTGTTTGGGTTTCCAGGGGCTGCAGTCTGTCTGAGGACGGGGGCATGCTGGCCCAGTGTCAAGGCCTGTCTAAAGAAGTGACCGAGCTCAGTCAGGAAGAGAAGAAATTAGATGAACTGATCCAAAGCTGCACCCTGGACCTCAAACTGTTAACCGAGGATTCAGAGAATCAAAGATATCCTTTGTGCCACCTGTTTGGCGGGGGTTAGTGCCTTCTAGACTATTTCCAGAGTTGATGATCTGACTTTTATGCACAAGGTAGAATTTTACTCGTTTCATACAAGTAAGCGTGCGTGTGTGTGTGTGTATGTGTGTGTTCAGTATTTATGGAATGATAGTCATTAGACTGCATCCTATCGTATCTCTTTTTTTTTTTTTTTTTTTTTTCCGGTACGCGGGCCTCTCACTGCTGTGGCCTCTCCCATTGCGGAGCACAGGCTCCAGGCGCGCAGGCTCAGCGGCCATGGCTCACGGGCCCAGCCGCTCCGCGGCATGTGGGATCTTCCCGGACCGGGGCACGAACCCGTGTCCCCTGCATCGGCAGGTGGACTCTCAACCACTGCTCCACCAGGGAAGCCCAGGCAACACTATTAATGAGATATGTAAGGTGTCAGTATTCATATTAATGATAACAGCAGATTCATCTTGGGCTGCCCAGGTTTTAGGTGGGTGTTAGCTGTCACTGTTGGGGTTCTCGTATTCTGTTTTCTTTTCATCACATATTGGGGGCAATTGGAATTTGTTGAATCTGTAATTGAACTGTAGTTGAAGGAATTGAAAGAGTATAGAAGAATGGTTCTATAATTTTTAAAGCACGTTATGCTGAATCACGACACCAAAAACTGATTTCAGAAACACCTCAAGGCCTAAGAAATCTCAGCTTATCCATTCATCCACAAACATTAGTCCTTGGAAGTGAAAATATAAAAAGCCAACTCTTGTTCTTAACTGGCTGACGATCTGTTGACCACCTGAGGAAAACTTACTGTTCATCACCTCACTTCAGACCATAGAGGAGAGAGATTACTCCATCATGCTGACGAGAAGATTTTGCAATTTTCTCAGTTATTAGTAGAAAACAAAACCAGTATTTTAAATAATCCCATGTCTGATTTTAGTTCCCCATTTATCTTCGTTAGACAGAAAATAAAATGTGACCTGCCTGGTTTCGTCTAGTGTCTCATCTCTAGTAGGCTTTCCCTTGGAGTTATGGGGACACTTATCTTCCAATTTAAGCAGTTTTTTTGAAACTCTGATTGTTCATTTCCTGTTGGCCAAAGGATTAACCTTGTCAGCTGATGATTAGTGAGCTGGAGAAGAGGTGTGATGATTGGACACCGCCCCATCCCCCCTCCCCGTGGTGGCCAGAGTGGGCTTACACTGGAAAAAATAAAAGTAGCTCTAGTTGGGCTGCTTCTTACATTGTTTACTCGGGAGCCCCTTCGGGGAGGAGATGTGGCTGTTACATGTGATTGGCAGCTTATAGCCTTGTCACCTACATTAGCTTTCTCTGGTGCCTTTGTTGCAGAAAATGAAAGCTTCCTTGCAGGGGGCTGCTAACCCAAGAAGCAAATTCAGGGGGGAGCCACAATGGAAGCACTTTTAAGTTTGTGAGATTAGAGAATATGTTTGCACAATTTATTTCAATTTGCCATCCAGTTCCGAATTTGGTACAGCTTGTTCACAAATGTGTTGAAATTTTCCTTCCTGCAGCATGTTGGGTAATTGTAGATGAGGTTTTATTTTAATAAGTGGTTGTCGAATAGCTTTTTGACAGTGGGCTGTGGAGTAAGTACCTAGTTATCAGTTTCCCCACTGTTCTCAGTAAAAATTCGTAACTGTCAAGTCTTCTATAAAGACAGCAATTGGCTTCCTTGATGAAACAGATGATGACCTAAAACCCAGAATCCTGCGTGAGCTGTCCTGTCAAGCTCAACACTGAAATAGCTGTTGTCTGAACTACTGAGACTTACAGATGATAGTTTGTGATAGATGCCCCTAAATGTACATGCAGATTTTGGGTGAATGTGCTTTTTTTCTGGACAGCAGGTTCATAGCTTCCTTCAATTTCTAATGAAAAGCTACTAATCTAAGGGAAATCATTTCCTCTAGGCCTTCTAAGTCCTATTTCTGTACTTAACATGTTAGATCACAGACTCTATTCACTACATTACCTCTGGAAATGCCTTTGTTGGGTTGTGATTTGCTGTTTTATCCTAGGCATTTTTTGTAAGTTAATATGAAAAGCAACTGGCTAAAGACATTGTATGTTAATTATGGTACTCCATGCCCCTTATAAAAGAAAGCTATGCAACCTATTCTCTTGTAGAACCAAGTCAAAGCCTGTCTCTCTAAGCAAGCTAGCATGAATATTTTATCGTAAAATAAGTACCATGTTCTTTCGTAATATCCTCTTAGGTTTAACTGTCAGGGCACTTTAAAGAATTGTTCAGTGCTCGGAAGTAACTACCAAGAGTACTGAAATATTATTTTACTCTCTTTTCCTAAATCATTTAGGTTGCAGATCATCTGGAAGCTGCTTTCCTCCTTGTGAACACTGAAATATTGTAGTTAATAATATCATACAAAGGGTAATTTTTCTAACAGAGGAGTAATGACACTCTTATCAGTAGGCAATATATAATCACAACCAGCCCAGGTACACTTAAGAAAACAAGCTCTCTGCCTGAGCAGTACTCGGAGTTCTTCCACTGATACATAGATTTCATTCATTCATCTGGGTGGCTGCTGACACTTTTTAATAATCAAGTAGCAGATAGAAGTTACCGGTGTTTCAACAAAATTAGGGTTAATAGGGCTTAAATTTTTTCTGTGAATTGGGATCTGCCATCATTCAATTTGAGTGGCAGAGTACTTCTTTGGAGTTCATGCAATACCTGTGCTCCAGAGGAACCTGGTTTGAAAATCCCTGACCAAATTGGGTTTCAGTTTTCTTTTGAGAGTTTATTTTAACGATTCTGTTTCTGTGTTTACGTTAGTATCTTAAGTAGCCATGAACTTAGAAATGGAAAGAAAAAAGCTAGACACTTCTTTTGTTGTTTAGAATAACAACCAGAAAAGAAGATTCATGGAAGATCCCATATATTTAAAGATCTAGAAGGAGAGACAGATATATTCTTCCAAGAAATAAAATACTTAAAAATTTTTCCATGCATCTATTTTGTTATCTTCATAATGGTTACATCCGAGACGATTAGTTGGAAGATTTCCTTAACACTCATTACGTTAGCTTATGTTACATATCAAGATATTCGAAAAATTAGTGGCCTTAAAGACCAAACTGTTATAGTTGTGAAAGCCCCTCCAGAAACAAGACTTGAAGTGCCTGACCCAATAGAGGTAAGGAGATAACGTCTTTGTTCATCTGTAGAGATCTTTTTGGAATGCCTGGTGTTAAAGAATCATTGACTCCTGGTTAAAGTCTGTATTCTCCTAAAAGCCTGATAGTTCTTCCCCATCTGTTTTACTTAATCCTAACTTTAAAAACATTTCAACAGTTTGATATGTATTGAGTGTCCAAAAATTCTAATTTTAACATAGCAGGGCATTCAACTCAAAGTGGTATATGGGGCCCTGTCCCTCTTGTATTTTCTCTTTTTCATAATTTTTTATATGGTAGTTCTGATCCGTTTGAACCAGTGGGGAATTTTACGTTGATTACTCTGGATGTGGTCCCCACCATGGACAGATATAAAAGTTTTAAAGTAGCTCCCTAACTTATCTTAGGACATTTTAAGAATTTATCATTTATAAAACATTTACTTTTAAGAAATCAAATGGGACTTCGGGTTAATTGATAGACTAGAATATTGTAAGAAAATAAGGAGCATAGTTTTCCGATTGCTTTCAGGTATACTTTGATAACATAGGCCTAGACTACAACTATAAGATACAGAAATGTAGTAAAAGAATGTGTAGAAAATAAAAAGAGAATGAAATTTGCAAGCTCCCATCTAGGGTAGAGTTCTCACCTTAAATGATAATAATAGCTCTATGACCTAGATAAAGAAGAATTTTAAATATTAGTGTGCTGCATTCTCTCATTAAACTCAGTTCCTAGCACTTAAGAGTACTATTCCTCCAGTGGCTATTAAAGTTCAACATAAAAAAAAAACCCTACTGTTAACATGGGAATACTGTATTTGGAACACTTAAAAGACCTTCTAACAGTTTGCATAAAAGGAATATATATATATCTTTTAAATTCACCTCCTCTTGGCAAGGGTCAGCAAACTTTTTCTTTAAAGAGCCAGACAGTAAATGTTTTTGGCTGTGTGAGCCCTACAGTCTTTTGGGACTATTCAACTGCCCAGCTCTGCCATCATAGCATGAAAAAAAAAGAAAAGAAAAAAAAACAAAAATCAGCCAGAGGCTACACACAAACAGTGGGAATGGGCGTGACTCTGCCAATAAAACTTTATTTGCAAAGCCAGTTAGTGGACAGGATTGACCCTCGGGCTGCAGTTTGTGGACCCCTGCTCTAGAGGATGACAGTCATTGATTGAGGTGGACTACCAGTAGAGAAACAAAAGGAACCATGAAAATTACCATTACTTTCCATTTTTTGATGAAAATTACTATAGCTCTCATTTCCAAAAGAACTTCCAGTTTGAACTTCTCTCACTTCTTCTGTTCATAGAGCCTACAAATACATTTGGCAAGTACCCAAGGACCCATTGAGGTTTATTTGTGTCCAGAAGAGACTGAAACACACAGTCCAATGAAAACAAACAACCAAGACCACAATGGGAATATCTCTAAACCCACTTCCAAAGGTAAAAATTCCACTTTTGTCATTTGGAAACTATGTTAAACATGAATGTGGCTAGAAGGATCCTGTATCAGAATCACAGGTCTAGGCAAGAAACAAAAATTTCTGTCATTAATGTTATTAAGGTAACATTTTTTTAAAAAGGCATCTGAATAGTTTGCAGAAGAAAATACTGATCTTCTTCGGGGCAAATGGCTCCTCCACCCACTTAATGGAGCCCCTACAGGCTTTTGCCATCAGCAGAAACCATTTCTTTACAGTGTTTTGGAAAACCAGCGGAAGTGAGGAGTGAAGCTGTAAGCTGTCTGCGTGAATCACCAGCTACACTTGGCCGCACACCTCTGGGTGATACTGCAGAGATCATTAGAGAGGGAACTGAAAGAAGTTAGGAGAGAAGAGCCTTTTGCCAAAGAAGTTTTATCCTAATTTCCCCCGCAATGTGATGGGGAGAGAATAAGGGAGGGAAACCCCAGGAAAATAAATCTAATGCATCCCTCCACTGTCCACACAGCAAGAGAAGCTTTTTGCAGTCTTTTTGTTTTTTTCAGATTGGAGATATGCATTTAATTTTCTTCTACTACATCCCAATATAGGAGCAAGAATAGGAATGATTTAAGTGATCAGGTCTGACTTAATAGTGAGGGGGAGAAAAAAATGCTACGTTAAATGGTAAAACAAAAGACCACTTTTTTTTTCCCCACCCTAGAACTTCAAAGTGGATGTGTCTTTTTATTTGTATTTTTAGAAGTATCTTTAATAAGCTAGTTGTTCAAAAAAAGACTAAGTTAAAATTGGTGATCTCTACTAAGGAGCCAACTTTTCAGTCTGTAGGTTTTGTTTTCTTCTGTTTTTCTTTACAGAATGACTAACTGATAGCAGGACAGTTTTTAGCTTGTTAGCCTCTGATCTTTGAAGCTATGTGTATTCTTGTTTGCTAACCGTTGGTATTTTAAAAGATGAGTGAGTAGACAAGAACACAGCAAGGCTTACCAGAGTCACTGCTCACAGAGCGTGTTAGCATGAGGTGATCTATACTGTAATGTCATCTAATTGCCCTTAGCAAAGAGTGCATGCTTTTATAACAGCAACACGTACATGCTTCCCCAAAATTAATTTGATTGTTGCCTAACTTATTTTCTTGTTTCCACCAACTTTTTCCTTTCAGACTTGGCTTCAACCAACTCAGGACATACTGATTGCTCGATTTCTATGGCAAACCTTTCTCCTTTGGCCTCCCCAGCCAACCTTTTACAGCAGACTGAGGACCAAATTCCTTCCAACCTAGAAGGACCATTTGTGAACTTACTGCCCCCCCTGCTCCAAGAAGACTATCTCCTAAGCCTTGGGGAGGAGGAAGGCATCAGCGATCTCTTTGATGCTTACGATTTGGAAAAGCTCCCGCTGGTGGAAGACTTTATGTGTAGCTGATTATGCTTTGTGTGGACTTCCCTTATAAACCGATATTTTTTTATTATGAAACCGAACATCTGTCATGCAGTGTTGTCCCTTCCTACCTTCTTCCTCCAAGATAGTATCATGAAGTAAACTACAAACTTCAGAACAAAGCTGACATTTTAATGAAAAAAAAAAAAAAATGTCTAAACGCACAGTTGCAGGCTCCCTTGGGAAAGCCCTGCCTTGCCCCAGGCTCCAAAATCTCCTGGATGAGTCAGCAAGTGAGAAAACGTGCAATCAGGTGTCTCTCACCCGTCCTTTTCCTCCCTCCCTCCTGGATTGGCTTGCTGTGCCTGACGGATGGGCTGTAGACTGGGGTCTGGCCACCTGGCCCACTCGCAAACAGCAATCTTCCTTAATAGCATTTCAAGCCGTGCCTTCTTCGCAGAATGCATGTCTTTGGGGTCTGCTAATTGGGAATGGAACTGCAGGAACTGTAAACTTGAAGTCATGCAAAAGTATGAAATGGATTTCTTCAGCTCTTCTTAGGAATATTTAAATTACTGTCATAATTCAGTTTAAGCTATGGACCGCATGTCCCACTAGGAGGTCAAGAGATCCTCCACAGCCTTTCAGATGAAGAAACTGTTTTCAAGTATTTGTCACAGATACAGAAGAATAGTTGAGTTCTGCCCCTCTGAGCTGTTGTGGATTTTTCCTGTCTCCATAAACCACTTCCACTCCCCTGCCCCCGATGTATTTGTAAGTTTGAAGTTGATTTGTAGCAAATGCCTACTTTGGAGTTCTTTGTGGATTATTTTAGATTTTTTTTTTTTAAGCTGCCATTTAAGCATTCCTGTGGCACCCATCACCATTTCAATTTAATTGTTTACTTTGAAGCAGTTTTTGCTAATTCAAATTATTTAAGCAGAGGTAGGTAGAGAACCTCTGTTGATCAGAGCATCTAAACGTGTGTGATCTAAGGTTTAACAGCCTCTGCAAGAAGCTTTGCCCCATCTTGCTTCCTTTCCCAGGAGGGAGCGCTTGGAGCCAGTGGAGCTCGCTGACAGGGGCGGCCCATCTGGAAGGAGAACCAGGTCAGATGACACAGCAGCCCCAAGGAGCAGCAGGTGTGGATCCCTCCGTCCTTGGGCTTCCCGGGCCCCCGTGACCGGGGAAAGGGCTCTCTTATACTGCACTCAGGGAGACCACTTCTCAGGATGGGGTCAGATGGAGAGGCCTCTGGGGAGAAAGACATCCCCCATTGTGAGTAGGGTTCTATCAGTGGCATTTACTTCCGCTGGTGAGAACAGCTCCCATTCCCCTCCCGCTACGAAGGAGTGAGCTGGACCAAGGGAAGTCAGGGATGTAGAAAAAGCAGGACGGGATGCCAGGGCATCTTCCCCTTAACTCTTCAGGAATGGTGTCCCAAGTTGGAGGCTTCGTGACAGCTGCAAATCCTACCAGTTCTGTCCAAGAATGGCTTTCCCATTGGCCAGGGGGAGATGGCCCTCTCCCGCTGGGAATGTGGCAGAGTACCTCACATCCATTCCTTGGATGCTAAAGACTGTGGGAATGAGGGAGTCATCTAAAAAACAAACCTCAACACAAAGAACAGTTAAATTGAAATGCTATGTGCCCAACACAGCGGTAGGCACATAGTAAGGCACTCGATTCACGTGTTCAATTGAATGGCAAATATATCCCTTAGGAAAAACACAAAACAAAACCGTGAAAGCCCTAGCCGGGTTAGTCTAGGTAGATTTCCACAATATGCAAAGTGGTGGTCGGGTCAAAACAATGACACCAGCACTTTAAACTATTTGTGTAGGTATGCATGGGTGTATGTTTGAGAAGAAAAACAAAGGTGCAGATCATCCTCCCTTTTCTTCTGCCTCCATCCCCACCCCCGTCGTCCCCTCATACACACACTGGACTTGGTCCGAGATGAAGCATTGGGGGGGGGGGGGGGGGGGTGTGATGAATTGGGGATTGGGATTGACATGTATGCACTGATGTGTATAAAACTGATGACTAATAAAAACTATGCGGCCATAAAAAAGAAGGAAATTCTGCCATTTTAGACAACATGGATGACCCCTCCGGGAATTATGCTAAATGAAATGATAGATAAAGACAAACCCTGTATGATCTCACATATATGTACAGGATCTTAAAAAACCAAATTCACAGGAACAGATTGGTGGTTGCCAGAGGCAGGGGGGGGGGGGTGGGGGGGAAGGGGGAGCTTTGTGTCAAGTGCCTACTGGAAATGCACTGTGGGGTGTTTTCCTGTGTGGGAAACCATTTATGCCAAGCTTTTCCCCATTTCCCATATTTATCTCATCTGGTTATAGCTGCCTCCGCTTCCAGCTTTGTGTAATTCTCTTTGCCAGCTGCACAAAAGCTGATTTTTTCCCAAAGTCTAAAGACTGAGCTCACCTGACTAGGTGTTTGTGTGTTTGGTTGAATTTCTCGTTAAACCTTTTCGTAACGTGACGCCGTATTTATTGTTTTAAAAATGAAAGGAATCCTAATAAGTCTTACAAGTTCCTTAATGCATAAGGTTTTCCCAGTTAATGGGCTTAACTGGTGTACATTAATTAGACGTCCATACTGTATTCTGTTTGCATTATTAGTCATTTTATTTTTTACATAGTATCTGGCACACAAAGTGGGTTAGTACTACAGTATTTGTGTTACTTTAAGTACTGAGTATGCAGGTTTCCTGGTACCATTGAGTTGCTGCTATTAAAGCTCACACATGAAATGGCTAAAAGTTACAAGTGTGCGTATTATGACTGCGTGAGCCTTAGAAAGTAAACTGTATAAAGAGCAACACATGAGCTGTCAAACAGTGTTAGGTGTGTGTTTATATGTACAGATTTGTGCGTAGCAATGGTTTTATTTAAGTTGATACGCAGCCTACTCATATTTTCATTATCTAGCAATTTTGTACAAAAATAGCAATTAATTTGTAAACACTGCCAGAATATTTTCTAGCTGGTTTGTAATTTTTTAAGAGTGTTATTTTGTGTTTGTTTTTGTTGTTGTTGTGTTCTTGTGTTCATTTTTGTTGTAAGTGTAGATCTGTAAATACAATTGCAGTATTTAAAGCTTTAGCTTTCAGGAAAAAGAAAGTAAGAACTCAGCGTGTGCATGACAACTCGTGTGTACAAGAGGAGGGATTTGAAGGAAGATGCCTTGCAGAGTGAGTCGGGTGGCAATTGTCAGATTGTGGGAATTTCTTTTCCTATGGGGTACGTGATTTTGTCAAAAGTAAGTATTTCTCCCAAAATTGGGAGCAGGCAAACTACTAATCAGTTTAGCTTTGTGTTGTATGCTAGTTAAAAGAAGAAAATATGTAATATAATGTAAAAAAAAAAAAAAAAAACCTTTTATGATGGATTTTGTAAATAGATTTGTTACAGGGTAACCTGTTCTCTAGCTGTGATCTTACCACTTCAAATGGGTGTAATTTGAATAAATTTTGTATGGTAAAGGATCAATAAAATGATTTTTTTTTAAAGAGTTTAGACTTGGGGATGGATTTTCTTACTATTGTCTTATGCTCCTACATTAATTTTATTTTTAAAGACACGCTTAGCAAGTTAAGGGGAACGTTTGAACAAAAACTCAAAACATCGTATGTCTTACCATTTAGTTGGGATTTGGGGAACATTAAGCAAAAAATTTTTTGAGCACCTGTGTTATGCTTGCCACTCTGGGAAGCAGAAGAACTTGCCATGTCTCTGATCACTTGGCAGAAACCACTACCAGGTATGGAGGATTTTTACACTGAGAAAGTGACAAGTCAAGTTTTATTCCTCATAAGGAGTATGAAGCCAGTAGATTCTATTTCTCAAGATTGGTAATTACCTTCCTCGTTCTAGATTCTGTATTTCTTATAATGCCACCTGTGAACAACTTCGGATTTTTTTTGACTGCCATGTCACTCCTAACTCAGAGCTCATCATGTAAAAACTTCAAAATGTATATCGTATACACACACAGACACACAATCAATACACAAGAGTTAATGTACAAAAAAGAAACATTCCCTGCCGCCCCCCCCCGCCGCCCCCGTCTATTCACCCCAGAGGTAACCACTATTTTCATTTTTCCTGTGTGTATCCTTCTGGTCTAGGTGTTTTCTAGGCATATATAAACACGTGTTTATATGCAGTTTTTAACATAAATCGTACTTAATACATATATGTTGATGTTTAGCTTTTTTTTTTTTTTCCACTAAATAGCATCTTGGACATCTTTCCATGTTTGTACTTAGAGATCATGTTCTTTCCCTTCAAAGGCTGCATAGCATTCCAGTGATTAAAATTTTATTTAATAATTTATTTACCTAGCTAGTTTCCTGTTTGAAGATATTTTTGAAATAGAAAATATGTTTTATTGAATGCTTATACTATGCCAGGTACTATTTTTTTTAATATGGTAAAATACACATAGCATAAAATTTACCATTAGTGACATTTAATACATGAACCATGTTGTGCAATGATCACCACTCTGGTTCCAGAACATTTTCATCATCCAAAAAGGAAACCGCACACCCATTAAGCAGCCACCCCCCATCCTCTTCTAGTCCCAGCCCCTGACAACCACTAATCTGTTTTCTGTCCCTACGGATTTGCCTATTTTGGTTATTTCCTATAAATGGAATCATACAGTATGTGACCTTTCTGCTTTTTTTCACTTATCATTATGTCCTCAAGGTTCATTCATGTGGAAGCATGTTATCAGTACCTCCTTCCTTTTTATGCCTGACTAATATCCCGTTGCATGGATATAACCACATTTCCATTATCTGTCCATCAGCTGATAGACATTTGGGTTGTTTCCACTTTTTGGCTATTGGAACGCCAGGTACTATTTTAAGTGCTCTGTGGTTTTTCACAGCACACGTCACTAGCTAATCCTATATACGTTAGCACTCCTCTTCTAGAATGTGAGCTCAATGAGGAGAGGTACTTTGTATTGCTCACTATTGTGCCCCCGGTTCCTAAAATAGTGCCTGGCACATAATAAGCACCTAATACATATCTAAATGAATTATTTGTATTTAG